ACAGTGTTCTACCGGTGTTTTTTCATATTGTACGCTCAAATGTGTCACAACCGTTAGTTAATCTGTTTCACACAAACCGTTCTGTCACAGCGCTAGGTGTTAGGCTGTACGCCATCTATACATCGTTTAAATTTATCATTCCTGAAAAGACAAAAACAAAAGCAGCGTCAACAATCGGAAGATTTTTTTCAACGATGGAAACGGTAAAATTAACATCAATTGAAGAATGCTTGGCACAAATAAAACTGGAGCCAAATGAGCAATCAGACTCCGTCCAGTGCATTGAAGTAAAAACCGAACACATCGAAATTAATCGTATTGAGTTGGAACATTATATGCAACAACATTATAATTCTGTTTTCGACATATGCAGTGATGTATTTTATTCCGTACGTATTTTTCTTTCTTTCATTATTTAATTGTTCATGTCTTAGCAATAATTACTTTGTGTTTTGAATTTTAAATATAATTTGTTTTTCTCAACAGATATCAGCCTATTTGTCACGACTTGACTGTCCAAATAGTTCAACTCAAGTTTTGTATTGGGCCATGCAGCAGTATACATTATGGTTGGATACAAGCCGAAATGTGCTCAACTCCTTCAACATAACAATAGAAAATCATCCGAACATGAACTTCTCGCCCGCATTCACAGCCGCATCCGAAATAAAAATGGAAATCGGTTATATTAAAGAGTCATTCGACTGTATGAATGTTTTAGTAAGTGGTTTTTGTTAGAAGTGGTTTCGATACATACATACTTTTCAAAAAAAATTCTAATTATGTATTTATTATTCATTTCAGATGATGGAATTTGATCCGAGAACGGCTCATGCCATCAAAGTGAAAAATAAACTTTTTCTTTCGCAATTACGGAACATGTTAGATCAAACTCAACAGTTGGTCAGCATTGCCATTGATTCTCCCACGCCATTTCCCTTAAAACTGGATTGGCGCGATGATAAGTGTTTTTTTGCCATACATTTAAGTTATGAAAATGTAAGCAATCATTTGTTTAATCGATGAAGAAAATTCATAACCTCAACTTAGTTCTAAACGTTGTAATACATAACTTGGCATATTTTTACGCATACATACACATACACGTACTCACAGAAAAAGTGGAGGCGGTTTTTCCGCAAATTATTGTAGCAACAGCAGAGCTGCAATAAAAATGTGTTTCTTGTAGCTTATTTTGACAGCTACGTACAAGTGTGTGTGTTTTGACATTTTACATTATTTGTAGCATCTGTATAAACTAAAAACCAATGTGATGTTAATAAAACATTTTAATATTTATTTTTTAAATAATTTTAGAAATGTCATTTTGACAATTTAAATTCGTGATTTCAGAGATGAAAAAAGTGTGAAGAATTATTTTCCACCGAAATTTTCAACCAAATTCGACACAATTGCTCTGGCAGGATTTTTTAACTTGTAAATATACGAAAAAAATTTGATATTCATTACTTTTTTTTAAATTAATAGTGATGTCGCTTTGACATTTTTAAATCTTAATTTCAGAGATGCATGTATATAATCTTAGGATTTGAAGAATTTGATTCCAGAATCCGAGTTTAGTTTTCAGACATCAACGTCAGTGATGTTCCCAAACATCAAATGTAGATGGTGTGTTATAATCGCTATCGCACACTTGTCTACACTTACACTGACTAATACACATTTAAATACACTTCAAACTAATACATACTAACTGCAATACAAGTAAAATATATTACTTATATTACAAATAATGTAAAATGTCAAAACACACACACTTGTACGTAGCTGTCAAAATAAGCTACAAGAAACACATTTTTATTGCAGCTCTGCTGTTGCTACAATAATTTGCGGAAAAACCGCCTCCACTTTTTCTGTGAGTATATAGTATATAAAAACACGCGCGCGCACACAGACAAACAGCAAACATCGAATTATACACGGGCATCCATACAACTATGCATTGTTTAAAATCAATGAGCAACAACTGAGTAATATCGTCTCTTTTACACTCGTTAACATTTTAACGTTTTGATTGTGTTTGTTTGTCATACATTGTATTCACCTAAGATTCGTAAATGCTGTACAGACACAAAAGAAATCTCATCATCATTGAATGTGTAAACGTGAAAATTATCTAAATAAATGAACTTAAAACGATATAAAACGAAGTTTATTATTACGTAGGTTGCTCCATAATTTTTTTTAAAATGGTACTTATAGTGTTGCCCGATGTAAACCATTGTCATATTCGTAAAGTTTGATGTTTTGGTATGTATTCGTGCCCTGAACCTTTTGTCGTACGAACGCTATTTGTATTGTTTACAGTGACTGGTAAACTGCGACTCAACAAAAAAATGAATTTTACACGTGAAGATTTTCGTAAAATGATTTACTACGATTTTCGAAGTAAATTATCTCAACAACAGTGTTTCGATCGACTTCATTTGGCCTTTGGCAATGAAGCACCAACCCTTCAGACAATTTATAACTGGTACCGAGAATTCCGTTGCGGTCGTAGTTCGCTCAAAGACGAGTTTCATACAGGTCGTCCAAAATCGGCTGTTGTGCCACAAAACATCGATGCTGTCAGAAAACTGATTATGGAAGATCGTCATGTGACCTACCGTGAGATTGAGGCATCTTTGGGCATTTCATCCCACAGCATACATACAATTTTGCATGAACATTTAGCCGTAAAAAATATTTGCTCTCGTTGGATCCCACATAAATTGACCGATGAACAAAAAATGGCTCGTGTGAGTTGGTGTAAAGAAATGCTCAAGAAATTCAATCGTGGTGCTTCAAAAGACGTTAATAAAATCGTCACTGGTGACGAATCGTGGATATATGCCTATGAGCCCGAAACGAAACAGCAGTCGACTGTATGGGTCTTCCAAAATGAAGATAACCCAACGAAAGTTGTTCGAGCAAGAAGCACTTCGAAGCGAATGGTCGCCTGTTTTTTCGGGAGAAGTGGTCATGTGGCAACCGTTCCACTAGAGGATCGTATGACCGTCAATTCTGATTGGTATACCACCATTTGTTTGCCCGAAGTGTTTGGTGAAATAAGAAAAAACAACCACCGTCGCAAAATAATTCTTCATCACGATAATGCGAGCTCTCACACATCTTTTCAAACTACTCGATTTTTGACCGGTCAAAACATCGAACTGATGGGTCATCCACCGTACAGTCCTGACCTGGCACCCAATGACTTTTTTTTGTTCCCAAGCGTGAAGAAAAAACTACGTAGTCAACGATTTTCGACACCAGAAGAAGCAGTTGAAGCGTTCAAAACACACGTTTTGGAGATATCAGTTTCGGAGTGGCACGAATGCTATGACAAATGGTTTCATCGAATGCAAAAGTGTATCGATCATCTCGGGGAATATTTTGAAAAACAATAAAACCATTTTCGACAAAAAACAACTGTGTTATATATGTTTTTAAAAAAAATTATGGAGCAACCCTCGTATATACAGGATACAGGTATTGGACAGACAGTTAAAATAAACCATTTTTTCGTTTGTACTGTCATAGCCTCAACATGTATTGAAATAAATATTTGAAAAAGAGAAGAAAAAAAAAATACGTTTAAAATCACCAATATGTGAGAGAGAAAAAATGAGAAATAGCTGTTTCATTCATGCGTATGTGTGTTTTTCTTGCTTTACACCTACTTCGTGTTTTAGAAGTAAATATTGCAGGATGAAACCGGCATTTCTATACTACTTGTATCGAGAGATTCATACTTTAACTGAGAAAAAAAATCTTACAGAAGTATTTGATTTGTATAAAATTACAAAAAATAAAATAAAAATTCAATTTTCGGAAGAGTTAATATAGAAAAGAGCAATTTAGAAGACATTTTCCATATATTATTGAAGCGTAATTGATTCATTGAAATCTTAATTAATCTTTCATTTATCATAAGCTTAGTTTCTTGGTAGACTGTTATAATCGTCCGTTGCGCTACTGATCACAGCACCAGCTAAATTTCTTATTATAGAAAACCATATTTTGTTTGCAATCATACGACTACTTTCGATTAAAAAACCATGATCTTTTTCCATATTCATTGCAACAGAGTGTTAACTGAAATAATATGATGCTGCAAATATAGACGTCAGAAGAATGGTGACACTTAAAATATACTTATTTAAATACATTTCAACTTCTCGGAAAGATGTTTCCATTATAGAATTTTCATTGACGGCACACCCGATTTGATTGATTGGTCAATCACGTACTCAAAATCATGCATATTGCGACTATTGCGAATTCAACGCATTTTGAAAACTATGTTGCTGATTACGCGGCAATTGAAAATGAATTGAAATAAAATATTGCGTTATAGCTGAATAGTCAAATCCTTTATAAATATATTTGAATGCCGGAATTGTCAAGGTGAGTAGTAATTTCTTTCCGTCAAGTTTTTCTTTGAGTTCCTTCAAAATCGCATTATAGCGATTGATCCAAATAATACAAGGTGCGTCTCAAAGTAAACAGGACTTTGTGTATAGGGCATTTTCTGGTAGCGGAACCTATATGTGACTTGGCTCGCTGGAAAGGTGCATCCTTGCGTCTGATATGTCAGTATGTTTTTTTTATCGGTACAAAAATGAGCATCGAACAAAGAGCCAACATTA